GTAGAAGAGTTCCCTGAATGTGACAGAAGCATCTTTCCAGAGAAAAAAGCAGCACCTCTTATGAATACTTCATGAGTGATTTAAGCCCTCAGAACTCTGAGTGAAAGACAATGTAAGGTAGTAATGAAAGTTTAATTTTTAATCCCAGACAGTGGTAGTCATAGGCTGAATAGTAAATTCAGGAGCCTATATGATGTAAAGGCTCAGGCTTGAAGTAAGATATGGAGGGAAATGGATAGAATTATCCCACCACATCTCCTTAATCAATCCTAAAATCAGCTCTCCCTTGGAGGCCAGCCATTTGGCACAGCGGGTAAAGCTGCTGCCTGCAGTGCCGGCATTCGATTTGGGTGCCGGTTTGAGTCCCAGCTACTCCAATTCCAATCCAGCTCTCTGCTGTGGCCTGGGGAAGCAGTAGAGGATTGCCTAAGCACCCACCTGGGAGACCCAAAAGAAGCGCCTGGCTCCTGGCTTTGGATCAGCGCAGCTCTAGCCATTGTGGCCATCTGCAGAGTGAACCAGCGGATGGAAGACCTCTCTCTCTCTCTCTCTCTGGGTGTGTGTGTGTGTGTGTGTATGTATGTGTGTGTAACTCTTTCAAAATAAATAAATCTTAAAAAAAAAATTGGCTCTCCCATCCCAGTACAGGAGAATTTGCAGGGAGTACTACAAGCAAGGCTAGTCCAGGGTGGACTTCTAGAGAAACAGTTTCTGTTTAGATATGGAAAGCAAACAAAATGTATGTCATGAAGAAGCTGCAAATATATTTAGTATGATACATTGCATTTGCTTTCTGAAGTCTAATTTACAAGTGGCATTGAATCATAGATTCACCATCTTTCAGACTTCTATGACAACCTTAGTAAGCTAACAAAACAAAGATTGTGCATCTCTTGACAATAAACACAAGTAGAAATTATTGATAAAACAAGTAAAAATACCCAAGTCCATGGAAATCTACCAACTCTCTCCTAAATAATTATCAGATTAAGAAGGGAATAAAATGTGCAATGGAAGACTAGTTACAAAATAACAAACAAGAGATTTGATATATTAAAACCTATGAGGCTGGCGCCGCAGCTCACTAGGCTAATCCTCCGCCTTGCAGCGCCGGCACACCGGGTTTTAGTCCCAGTTGGGGTGCCGGATTCTGTCCCGGTTGTCCCTCTTCCAGGCCAGCTCTCTGCTGTGGCCCGGGAGTGCAGTGGAGGATGGCCCAAGTGCTTGGGCCCTGCACCCCATGGGAGACCAGGATAAGTACCTGGCTCCTGCCATCAGATCAGTGCGGTGCGCCGGCCGCAGCGCGCTGGCCGCGGCGGCCATTGGAGGGTGAACCAATGGCAAAGGAAGACCTTTCTCTCTGTCTCTCTCTCTCTCTCACTGTCCACTCTGCCTGTCAAACAAACAAACAAACAAACAAACAAAAAAACACCTATGAGACATGATGAAACTTAACTCCCAGGTAGCGTCTTTAAGATAAATTAATGGAATCGTAATATTGCCAAAGTGGAGAGCACAGCAGGCTGAAACATTGTGGGGCTGTTTTCACTCTGAATTCTCTTTTAGTTCCTTCTCCCTTCCTCCCTCCACCTGGCCCTGTTACTCCCAGTTAGCCCTATACAGCACTCTCAAAATTCTCCTTGTCTTGATAGAAATTCAAGTTCAACAAAGACCTTCTTTTGTTATTTGGCACTGAAGTACTTCACTTGAGCAGCCCTAGGTTTGTTTGAGGGAGAGCCATGGCATTGGTCCGCATGAGCATACTTCAGATGGATGTGCTGGTTAGACTCATGGCTGTGATAAACAGAATGATTTTTAAGGGTTTAGATCTAAGCAGCAGAGAAGGAATAAAGCCTCTGTCAGCTGAAGCTCGACTAGTTGCAGCAAATAACCACACCAGAATGGGAAGAATAGTATTGTTTTCACATTAAGTATATTTTGAAATTAAATTTAATTTGGAGAAATTCCTTTCTACAGATGGCAGAGAAAAGGGATCATGGGTGATATTCAATAGTTTGCCTTCTTTAGTATATTGGATTTGGGGTTTTGCCAGAGACTAGAAACATTTGTTAGTTTCTGAGTTCTGTTGTCAACAGTTTTTCCATAACAGCTTTTCCTGATGCTTTTCAATGAAATGATAAAATGTGTGATTGCTCAAGTGAATTAATTCTACAGGCTGGAATAGCGAGAGCCAGGAAAAAAGATTGAGATGGCAGAGTCATCTAACTTTGGAATTACAAGAGTTTGCATGGCGTGAATTTTGCTATATGAAGGGGAGTCACATGCTTGTGTAGGAATCCCAAACCTAGTGGAACAGTGTGATGTAGAGCAGTGAGTAAAAAGAGAATATGGAAAGAGCATGAATCAAGAATGCTACAAACTTTTAGGTTATGTAGAGAGGAAGTTTTCTGTGATATGATGAAAATAAAATTGCATGAAAATATGATAAAATATTCAATTCCCTGTGTTACTAAAGGCAAAATATTTAATATATGCAAGTCTCAGTTTTCTCATCTATAATAAGGATAGCAATATTACTCTCCTGAAAAGGACTGAAAGAGATCATTCACTCATCTACTCACTGAGTTGTACTTATCAAACACCTGAATTGTCAAGTACTGTTCTAGGGAATGGGTTTGTAGAGATACATTAAACAAGTAAGCACACAACTACATAATTCCATATTTATTTATTTACTTATTCTTTGGAAGGCAGAGAGAGAGAGAGCACTTCCATCGTCAAGTTGACTTCCCAAGTGGCCTCAATGACTGGGGCTGGGCCAGGTCGAAGGCAGGATCCAGAAACTTCATCTGGATCTCCCACATGGGTGGCAGAGGGCCAGGCTCTTGGATCATATTCCGTTGCTTTCCCAGGCATGTTAGCAGACATCTGGATCAGAAGCAGAGCAGCTGGGACTTGAACCAGAACTATGATTTTGGATGTTGGCGTTACAAATGGTGCCTGTGCCACACCAGCCTCACAACTACACAATTTTGAGGGAAGTTAGTGTCATACAGAAAAGAAACAGTACTATGAGAGAAAGTAACAGATTATGGATTTTAATTGATTTGGTTTGAGATAGATTCCCTAAGGATCCATATTTGTTCTTATGTGGAGTTAGCAATACCATGAACCAAGAACAGGATTCCAGGGAGAGATGTCAACAGAGCCCTAGAAACCAAATTAAAACACAAAGTTAACAAACAAACTAAAAGAACTTGAGATAGTCTAGGGTGGCTGAATTGCAAAGGACAGTAAAAGAGAAGCAAAAGTTAGGTAGGAGGGGCTGGCACTGTGGCATAGTGGGCAAAGCTGCTGCCTACAGTGCTGGCATCCCATATGGGCGCCAGTTTGAGTCCTGGCTGTTCCACTTCCAATCCAGCTCTCTGCTGGCTGGGAAGACAGTGGAGGATGGCCCAAGTGCTTGGGCCCCTGCACCCTCATGGGATACCCGGAAGAACTGGCTCCTGGCTTCGGACTGGCGCAGCTCCAGCCATTGTGGCCATCTGGGGAGTGAACCAGTGGATGGAAGACTCTCTCTCTCTTTCTCTCTGTAACTCTGACTTTCAAATAAATAAATAAATCTTTAAAAATAAAGATAGGAGTTAGAAACTGTGCTGTGAAATATAGAGCTTGAACTGTATCATAAATGCAAGCAGAAATAATTATAATGTTGGCACAGAATCTACCCCTCAATGAATGATCACTAAAAGTTAACAAAATGATGAGGAGGGGGAGTGAGAGGATAGAAGATGGGAACTGTAGTTAATAGTCATGAATAAGGCCTTCTAGGTAGAAGTAGACAAGTATTCTTTATTTTAGAAAATAAATTTTAAAAAGTCAGATACAAGATGAATTTCTTACTACAGATTTTAGAAGGGACACTACTTCATGAGACATAAAAAGCTTTAAAATGTTGGCCATGAAATATAGGACAAAAGATAAGGGTGGGCATTTGGTGAAGCTGTTAAGTCCCTGTGCTGGACACCCACATCCCATATTGGAGTGCCTGATTGTCAAGACCCAGCCACTGCACTTCTGATCCAGCTTCCTGCTAGCATGTACCCTTGGAGGCAACAATAATGGCTCAAGTGCTTCCACCCATGTGGGAGACCCATATGGAGACCTGATTTCCTGGATCCAAACTGGCTCATCCCTGGCCATTGAGGGAATTTGGGGTGTAAATCAGTGGATGGAGAACTCTTTCTCTATTTCTGTCTCTATGCCTTTCAAAACTGAATGAAAATAAATAAATAACAAAATTTAGAAGACAAAGAACACCCCACCACCACCAAATAATTCTTAGTCCTTGTCTGGCTTCTCTCATCTCTATCCCTTACTCCTTATTCTCTCATTTGTAATGGGGCCACATCCCTCTGTTCCTTACTCATATTAGTTCAAAGCTAGTCTCAAAAATCAAGTCTTAGCTAGTGTGGCCCATCAACTGCTCATTTCACAGGAGACCATATATTAAACACTAGCATATGGTAGGATATTGTTTTCAGCTTTTGGATGGACCATGCCTAAGTGCCAGCATATATTGTTTGCTTTCGATTAAAATGCAATGCTTAATGGATTTTAGAAATTGTAATAAAAAATAAATCTGGATTCATGGAAGACAAACAAATGATGTGGCTTTGGAACCTGATCCATTCCACGTGTTCAAGCTTACTATTTACTAGGTTCTACATCTCACACTTAAAAGTTTCATACAAATTAGTTTTTGTTTTTTCAATCCAGTTCATTTGAACTGTCTCTACAGGGGAAAGTGTATTCATAACAAATCTATTTTCTGTGAGAAATTTCCTCTTTAGGAAATAGCTTAATCCATGCATTTAAAAATCAAAAGCCTGATATATTCACAGGATAAAAATCCTGGGTCATGGATTAAATACTGGGACTCTGGTCCTGAATCATTCAGTGTTTGCTACTTGAATAAGGTAATCAGTGAGAAATCTGGACCTGGTCCTCAGAATACTAGAATTTTTAATTAGTCATTGTCATCTCTTTGCAAATGTAATCTACTAAAAATAATGAACTTGTTGTTACCCTTCTACAAGTGATCATGATGTGTTTTCACCTGACTTCTTAAGACAAACTCTTTATTACCATAAATTGGGTTCAGATAATGGTCTTCTTTGTCTAGGCTATGTTATAATAACAAACTATAACAATAACCAGAAAAATGAAAAACAGTAACAAAACATTCCAGTGGCTTACAACACATGTTTATTTTCTGCTTATGGTAACATGTTGGTTTTAAATCAGTTCTGCTAAACAGCTCTACTGCTGCTTCCTATGTCTTCACTGTCTTGGAGCCCAGGTTCTTGGTCTTGTGAGAGGGAAAAGTAAAAGGTAGTTGAATCATGTAATAACTTTCACAGCTTCTACTTGTAAATGATTACTTCTCTTCTCACTTTCTGCTGGGGAAAGCAGCTTCTCTGGCTGAGCCCATAGTCAATGAGAAGAATATGTATTTTCCTAGGGAGATATGGCAAGGACCACAGATATTTAATCCTTTTCCTGGGGTTGGGGGGAGTGAATAATGAGGAGACTTTTTAGAGTCTATTCTAGTTCACAAGGACAATGGAGAGTTTCATTGTTGTTGTTTTGAAAGGAATGCAAATTTATAAGTCTTAGAATATTGAATACAAATTGTGCTGTAGTAGTATTTAGGATCACTTAAAGTATTAAATGAATTTTATTTCAATATCTCTTTCAAAGGGGCTGTGCTTAAAGTATTGCAATGTCTGGGATCCAAGGAGAATATAGTCTTTCAGAATTAATATTGTTTAATTTCCAGAGAGAGAAAGAAACAGAGCCAAAATCAATCGCACCTTCTAGGTTTAGGGCCCTTGAGCCCTATAAGTTCCTCTTAGAACATTTGGACTGCAGCTGCCTTTCTCCTTGTGGGAGTCCTTGAATTTCATTAGTTGGGGCCCAGAGGAATAGTCCACTTTAGCTTGCTCCAATGCTCTTTGGCTGTTTTCCTTCCTTTTTCTTATCTTCTAGTGGTAAAGCAGAAAAGAGAGACTACAGGCTTGGAAGAAGCAGATAGAACCTGGGAGGATTAGAAAGAAGGAATATGTCTTACTCTGCTGTGTGTCCTGCTTTTTGGTTTTCAAGAACTGTAGTATGTCTATACCTCTAATGAAAATTAAATCATCATATTACACTTTGAAAATAATGACCCAACAAGAATTTGTCAAATATCTATTTGCAAAGTTCTTTATTAGGTGCTGAAAGGACAAGAATTTTCTCTACCTTCAGAGATTTACTGTATGTTAAGAGAGAAATTTCATGTAACTTTACTACAGTCTGTGAAATTTGTGCTGTAGGTGACATCAGAGCTCGGAGAAGAGTTATTGGTCTGAGTCAGTAGCACTGCATGTGATTTCTTTCTCTGTATGTAAGACTATCCTATGGCTGACCCATAATTTATTAATCATCTCTATTATTAGAGCTTTAGAATAGCTTCAGTTCTCATTATTGTAGAGTGTACCTGATGAGAATCTGTGTCTTTACTGGCATCTTGCATATATTTATGATTGAGTGCTAGCAGGAAAGTGTTCCCAAGACTTACCTGTCCTATAATTTTCCAGAACGTTAAATTTCCACCAGTTATGGGTGCCAGGAACTGTGTAATGTGCACCCACCAGCTTTGAATATCATACTTTAAAATATTTCTCTTTATTGCACACTCCCCTCACCTAGGTAATTCCTATTTGTCTCAGTTTTGAAGTTATTTCTACTGAAAAGTATTCTGTCATCCCCCAATGAGTTCAGGGTTTTGAGTTATGCTGATGAGTTGTTCTGTACTTTAAGACATTTTTTTAAGATTTATTTATTGATTTGAAAGTCAGAGTTACAAAGAGAGAGAGAATGAAAGAGAGAGAGAGAGAGATCTTTCATTCGCTGGCTCACTGGAAAGTGAACAAGCTGGCTGCAACACACAGAGCTGGGCCAGACCAAAGCTAGGAGCTAGCAGCTTAATCTGGGTCTCCCCCATGGGTGGCAGGGGCCCATGCCCTCAGACCATCTACTACTGCTTTTCCCAGGCCATTAGTGAGGACCTGGGTTGGAAGTGGAGCAACAGGGATGCAAATTGGCACCCGCATGGGATACCAGCATCACAGGTGGTAGCTTTACCTGCTATGCCACAGCACTGGCCCAAGGCTTATATTCACCCCTTCACCATTCTAAAATGAAATTCATTGATAATATAATCTCACTGTACACATTATATTAAAATCTAAATTTACAAGTATTAGATAATGATAAAGATAAATTAAAAGCAAAGCAGAAAAAATAGTCACATGTATTCAGCATATGGAAAGCCTGGACAAGCTGCATTTAAAGACATAATGAAGTAATCATCTTGTTTATGTCCTAAATCGCTATGAATGCTGCAGTACAGACATAGGCTGGCATGGCTGTATGAGCTGGTGACTGATTTTTCTGTATTGATGATCAACTCCTGGCAGATTTCCAGGAGGGAAAAAAAACCTTTCAGTTATATTCTATCTGTAATCTTGGAAAATTAAGTATACATTAGAATTGTGCAAAAATTAATTGTGTTTGATGTGTAAATCAAGCTAGATTTTATGCTAACTAGTAGAACATCTGCCTATATAAATATCTTTGGAGAATTCTCATTGTGTGAGACTCTGTCATATTCCAAGCTGTCTAATGTCTTTGGTCTCTAGCCACTAAATCCCAACAGTGCCCACCACAATTGTGATAATAATTAAAAGAAAAACTAAAATGTGCTCACAAATTTCTCAAATGCCTAATTATGGTATCTACTGAGAACCTTTGTATAAATAAGGATGTAGAACCCTGTACTTTCTCAGATAGCTTATTTATTTTTATTATTTATTTATTTTTAGCGATTTATTTTATTTGGAAGGCAGAGTGACAGAGAGGGAGAGACAAGGAGAGAGATAAAGGAGATCTTCCAAATGGCTGTAATAGCTGGGACTGGACCAGGCTGAAGCCAGGAGCTGGGAACCTCATCCAGGTCTCCCACATGGGAGACCCAGGTACCCAGGCATTTGGGCCATCTTCTGCTGCCTTCCCAGATGCATTAGCAGGAAGCTGGATTGGAAGAGGACCAGCCAGGATTCAATCATATGCTTTTAAACAACAATATTCTCATGTGTTTTAAGTTCCTTATGGAGCAATGATTATCTTTCTTTCTTTTTTTAACAGTTATTTCTTTATTTGAAAATTAGTGTTGCATAGAGATTGGGAGACACAGATATCTTCCATCCACTGGTTCACTCCCCAGATGGCTGCAATGGCCAGGGCTAGGCCAGGCTAAAGCCAGGTGCCAGGAGCTTTATCTGGGTCTCCCATGTGGATGGCAGGAGCCCAAACACTTGGACCATCTTGTGTTGCTTTTCTCAGGTCATTAGCATAGAGCTGGATTGGAAGTAGAGCAGCTGGGACATGAATTGGCACCATACGGATCCCACAGTGCTGGCCTTCAGTGATTAGCTTTCACACTGCTATCACCAGAACACTTCCTGGTATTTGTTGATATCTTTATAATGTTAGTTACAAATATTTGTTACTTATTACTATTTTAATGGCTAGGTCTTCCAGGATAATTTTATAGAACAAGAGTCATATTTGTATCCATTGACTAATTCCTGATTGTGATGAGAAGTCTGTAGTGATTCACCTTTAAAACATGTCAAGAATTGGGGCCAGTGTTGTGGTGCAGCACTACTGCCTCCCACTCGGGCATCCCAGGTGGGCTATAATTCGTGTCTGGGCTCCTGCCACACATGTGGGAGACCTGGATGAAGTTCCTGTCTGGCCATCTGAGGGAATGAACCTGTGGATGGAAGGGCTCTCTTTCTCTCTGTCTCCCTTTTTCTGTAACTCTGATTATCAAATAAATAAATAGTTTTTTAAAAGTGTCAGGAATCACAACAGCTCTCATTTAGTCTATGTTATCTATTAGCAGACATTTTACTAAGGAATATACTCTATTTGCTTCAGCAACCCCATGAGCTAGGCTTAGCTTGTTGAAGGCTCTTAAGTAGATAGTTTGTAATTGACAGAGGTGGGATTTGAACCCAGGTGCATAGATGATATTCATGGCCGCTTCACTATAAGATATTAGCTATTGATTCAGAACAGGTAGTCTTGATTATTTGAGGAAAATTCTCTTTTTCTCCTAACTTTAAAAGGTTTGCTTTTAATAAATCAGAAATACTAGCAACCTTTCTGGCATGGAGCTGCCATATCGCTTATTTTTTTGATTTGTTGACAAGATAATATATAATTAAAAACCTTTGTATTATTATTATTACTGTAATTGATTTTATATACAAAGCTAACAATAGATTGTGAATTTATTTTTATTGAACTATGGTTAGGATTTTTCACCGTATATTAATAGGTGAAATCAACACATAGTTTTCTCTGTTGGGATTTAGCAACAGTGTTTTGAGAAAAATTAGTTGAGAATTGTTCCATATTTGATGGTATCTTAAAATAAATTATATTTTAGAATTACCTATTCCTTAAAATTTTTAAAGGACTTGCCAGGTAGGGCACCTTCTGAGTGTTAGGGGATTGATAATGTTTTTGATTATATCCATGGCTTATGTCTATTTCTTTTTCCTCTCCTTGAGATAACTTCAATTTTTTTCCGGGAAATGACCCATTTCAAACATTTAAATATAATAGGATAGAGTTGTACATGGGGACTATATATTTTTAAGTTCCTTAGTATCTTTGCATTTGTAGTACCTTTGCTATTTTTAGTATTGTCTATTTTTTCTTTATTAGACTGGCTAGAAATCTGTATTTGTATTTTATATCCCCATCCTCCCTCCATTTCCCTCTGAAAAGCAGTTCTTGAATGTATCTATGAATTTTTTCATTTGTATTTTATTTTTTAGGTTTTGCTTTTATTTTTACTTTATTCTTCATTTTAGTATTTCTTTCCCCCTGCTGATTTTTTAATTTGACTCCTTAGGTTCTCTTTCTTTTGTCTCTTTCATCTTTCTTTCCATCTTTCATTTTTCTCCAACATGAAAACAGTTTATTCTGTGACCTCCTTTGATTACAGATTTGGCTGATATGTGTAAATTTTGGTAAGTAATATTCTTATTTTTTGTTGTTTCCTAGATAGTCCACAATTATAGATTTATTTCCTCTTTGACATTATAGAGATTATTAGGAGAACATCTTTAAAATTGTTATGCTTTTAGATTTTATTGCCTTAAGATTTTACCATTGTTTACTGTTAACCCACTGACTGCTTTCAGATATAAAATAAGTATATAACCCAAGTTGGATTATCACTTTGAATCTACCATCTCCTCATCTCCAAATAATGTCACCACTGCCAATGTATTTTATTGATTGAGATGAGAGATCTATTTTATTTTTCTGTTTAGGTTCGAGATGATAAAACCTTACTGGGGAAAGTCTGCGGCAATGAAACCCTCTCTCATGTTACATCTGTTACTAATACTATATGGATCAGGTTTAAAATTGATGCTTCTGTTGAAAAAGTTAGTTTCAGAGCTGCTTATCAAGTTGGTAAGGAAACTTATACTTAATTTTTAAGTGTTTAATTTAATTTGCCTGATTATAACATTTTAATTTCTTGAAATAACTTAGTCATTTAGTCAAATAGCAAGGAAAATATTCTCACCAAAGTATTACATTCTTTTATCATATTAGGCGAATTATACTTTGTAATAAAATTGAGAGTAAGAATTATTCATCTTTGTTCAAGCATTAACATTATTTTTTATATTTACAGCTTGTGGGGGTGAATTAACTGGAGAAGGGATCATTCACTCTCCTTTTTATCCTAATGTATATCCTGGAGAAAGAATCTGTAGGTGGACTATCTCCCAACCCAAAGGTCAGGTAGTTCTTCTCAACTTCACTGCATTTGAAATTGGAAGTTCTGCACAGTGTGATACAGATTATGTTGAGGTAAGAGTGAAAAGCTTTGGGTATTTGTATTTGTTTGTATTATCAAAAATACGGTGTCATGTTATCTGCAAATGAGTTAAAACAAAAAGTCAT